TTGAGGACTTTGCAATGTAACCCACTCGCTTGAGATAATGCCAGCTCAAAGACAAAGCCGGGGATAATTCAACGGAAGTCACTGTCTTTAGGATGAATTTTGAAGCTGGCATCCATTCTACCCCGACTACCCTATGGTCTGTCTCAAGGTTTCAGCGTTCACGTCTGTGCTACATATCCAGTTCAATCTTACGTTCCGTGATTTGAACACTATAGTATCTAGCGAAAGACCATAAATTACGAAATGTTTCTCTATACAATTTTCTGTAACCTCCTGCTTCTTTCCAGATTTTATCTCCAAATGTTACCCTCGGTATCTTCTTCTCAGATACCTTTAATCTATGTTCTTCCATTAAGGCGAGAAACCAAATTTCACGACAAGACAAAGCAACGAGTAATAATAGGGTAAAAAGAAGTAAAGTAATCCCTGTAACAGACCATGGAGGCCCATGGGGTTGTGAGATGTTGAGGTTCCCACATTTTCTAGACAATCGGCTCACAGATGGCGGTGAGGTTGTCAGCCTTACGCGCTGTCCACCCTTTATCCCCAAGAACATTCCAAGAATATTCCTGGTACTCACTTCTGTTAGAGGCTGTGTCGACCCCTGGGCCATAATGTGCCTGGAAGGATTAGGTCAATTGAGAAAATCAATTACCTCATCCGGATTCGATCCCGCGACCTTCCGGCTTGTAGCATAGTGCCTCAACCAACTGCACTACCGCGTGCCCCAATAATAGGGTTGTGTATGATTCAATTTCTACTTTCTTACCTGGCAGACTGGTGAACAAAGTATTCTAAACTGATGACAGAAATCACTCCCATACCCTAATATGCAATTAATTTCCTAGTAATTACAATTTTCATTTCAAATTTACTACATTTTCTAAAGATATATATTACCTATATTAATGCTTTTATTTTTTCTCTATTTTATTGATAAAACATAAACTTATAGGCCTACTTAATTTTCTCTTCATTTACTTTCAGGGCAAGCTCCTTTTTTTCGGCGCCACAGCCCCAATTTTGGCCTTGGCCTACCTCCATGAAAATCTGTTTCACTTCGGTTTAATAGATCTTATACATCCGTTAGGACTCCTTGGTCGGGTGATCAGCTTGTCGCAAGGCCTCTACCTCTTCACAAACACAGAAAAATGTGCGCGCACGCACACACACACACACAAAACAATAAATATCCATGGCTTAAGTGGGATTCGAACCCACGATTCCGGCTTCCGAGCGAGCGAAGACAGTGCATGCCTTAGAACGCTGGGCTACAATGACCGGCCCTAACTCCTTACTGTGATCAAATATCTAGCGTTATCTAATAATCAGTCAAATGATATTTGCTCAGATATATGAATGACGAAGCTTCATACAAACAAACATTACCCCGTGTTCCCCTTACCACTGTTTCCTAGCTCCAAACATTTTCTTCAGAGAAGAAAATAAACTAATATTGACATTATGTACTTTGTCTAAAAAGTAATGGAAAGTATGATCCTGCTTCACAAATTTTAGCTTAGCTCCTCAACAACAGAAAACAGTCTTGTGAAAGCACCACGCTGTCTGTGTGTGCGTGTGTCTGCACTTTCAACCTTTCAAACACCTGGCTGATTTTCACAATTTTTTACGAACAATTTGTCAATAAAGAGCACCAAAACCGTCTTCATTTTAATTTCATGCTCTCAGTGATAACATGGTGGACGTACGAACTTGTGACGTCGGTGCAGCACTAATAATCGCTTAACAGGTTATAATATTTTGAAATGTTGTACCATATTAGAACCTCGAAAAAGCATATAATTTATGTTACGATAATAGTTTGGAGACTACAAAAAAACAGTATGATGACTTCATAAAATGTCTATATCGCTTTCGGTTTGATAATGAATCACTGTAGCAAAGAATCTGAAATTTGAAATGGATACACCTAGAATATGCCTACATATTGCGAATGATATATTATCTGTCGCTGCATCTATTGGTGAATAACGCCTCCTATTTTTCGTTGTAAAATGCAATAGCACATTTCGAAATGGAAAATAGCTTTATTCAGAATTAACCTCTTCTGATAACCGCTCTAATTTGTAATCTCAACTAGGATCGTCGCTCTAACTACATTCGTATGAAAGTGACAAGAGACTGGGCTGGTCATAGTACAGCGACAAGGAGAGACATCTTTTGGCTGCAAGCACCCAATGACTTTCTCACGTCCACACTGACGGCGCAATCTTCACGGCTTGTTGCACTCTTTCCGTAACTTTGGCGAGCTTTAACACTGATCAGAGATAGAAGAAAGCAAAACACGGAATTCGTGATCTTAAGAATGTTTATTAACCATCTTACCATATAACTATAAAATATAACTGACATAAATATTTCAAATTTGAAAGGGACTAAATGGCAATGATTTCAGATTTCGAGGACCTATCGGAGATTTTGATCAGGAAATATGTTACATATCTGAGGTTCAAATATTGAAGAAAAAAATCTCAATCACATGAAATATTTGTTTAAATATTCTTGTATTTCTCATTATTCAACAAATTACTACGGCTAATTCTGACATTGTTTCGGTACAGAAAATATTGACCTTGAACAAAAATATGCCAATTTAAATTCTTTGATGAAAATTTGTGGGTTTTTTTAATATGTATACAATAATATACAATAATATAATGCTGCAAAAAGCTTCCGTAAAATACCATTATGAGTCTCGGCTCTTTACGAGAATGCGATAAGCAAACAGAATTATAAAGACCCCCAAAGCCGAGCAAAATTTCTGTCCAGAAATCTGCTATGAAGATGGTGGATATGTGTTCTGGTTAGAGAGCATGTACTCCTGATGAAATGTGTGCTACACACCTTAATAAGAAAATCTTTTTTCCATAAAAATGGCACCGTCTCAAAAACAAGACATGTTTCAGAGCTCTCTGAGAGGCTGTATTCGGGAACTCTACAATATAACCTGCAATTCCGACCTGGCCCCATGGTAGATATTTTCTGTTGATATTCCTCGAGAAAATTCTTTGCTGGTATAGATTTTCCTGTCATGAAGTTTGTGCTTAGATTAAAACTCAAGGAGTTGGTTTCATTCTGGAGGAAATGACTTCTTAGAACCAAAATGGAACACGTGGTTACGTAGAAATGTTTACAAGTAAAATGCGAGCCTCTTCTACGGAGATTTACTTTATGTATCGATAACGCACATAACGACCCTTGTGCGTATATTTGTAAAATACGCGTTTAGTGCAGCATAACTCTATGGACCTCTTCCAGAATTATGGGTTTACACGGGCGTAAACCCGAAGGTTGACTACATTAGAATTCTCGTCACATAAGGAATACTAATAACACAGGAATGGCTCATAATTTGTTTGGAGAAAAGAGGAGAAATTATGATGCTGTCAAGTAACTGGACTATTCATCTTCGAAGAATGATGAAGAAAAAAGAGTTCTGAAGGAATCAGTCGTAGCCTAATCCAAGATTTTGCGTCAAGGAACTGAAGAAGACCACAAACATCTCAAACAAGATATCCGATATCCCGACAGAGATTCGAACTCAGCCCCATCCGAATACGCGTCTACAGTCTTACCCCTATGTCATGCCATTCAGTTATAATTATTGTATATAAACGCTATTCGTTCTTTCAGTCATCAATGGCTATACAATCCTTCTGCTGAGCCTTGGCCTCCTCTTCAGTTTCGTACACATTTTACACAGACGGTAGGACTCCTTGGACGGGAGATCAGCAATCGCAAGACGACTACCTTCACACAGAACAACACAAACACAGAATAAACGCACACAGATATCCATGTCTTGATTGGGATTCGAACCCACGATCCCAATATTCAAGCGGGCGACGACAGTTCATGCCTTAGACCATTACTTTTATTCATTATTTTCACGTGCAGGAGGGTGACTATTAGATATAGATTAGGTATAGATTGTATTATTTGATTTACTGACATCTTACGCGCACCACTCTGAACTACAGGCAATTGCAGCGCGCTCTGTAATCTACACATCCTACAGTTCACCGTTACAGACACACTAGTGTCCTCTGTCTCTTACATGCTCCACTAGTCTTTTCCTGGTAACGGATTTTAACACAGGAACTATAACAGTTTCACTGTTAACTGCACACTCCGAATATCGTGGTATTTTAGCACACATAAAGTCTTCTCTTCACAGTCAGACTTTCAACTCCACTGAACTGCACTCAATAATTCTGATGCCGCAGTTCCTCGATTCAATTTCCCTGCTCCAAAGCAGGCGTCTCGAAACTCAACTGACTCAAACTATCTTCTTTGTCCTTCTTCATAATCCCTCGGCACGAACCACGTAGAAAACACAACCTCTCTATTTTTGAGGAGGCGTGTTTACGGAGCCGTTGCATAGCAACGGTCGCTGCACGAACCACATAGAAAACATCTCTCTTCAATTATAGCGCGCCCTCATTTCCGCTGGAACATCTTTACAGAGTAGTTGTCTAGTAATGAACGTCTACTGTGGTTCTTCTATTCCGGTTTTCATGGGTGATGTTACAATATACACGTACTAGTAGCTCATATGAAGTGTTTAAGAAGATATTATACGAATTCCTTCCTAGTAATAAATATTGCGAAAATTTCCTAGTAAGCCTATTTTTGTCCTTAAGTTCACATTTCTACGCCTGATAATTCGCAATTATTGTTTTTTTTAATTGTACATACTGATAGAATATTGATTGTTCTTATTAAAAGTTCCTAGCTCATGCGAAAAGCTAAAAGTCCTATAGCATATATCCCCTGTTTATGGAAGGAACCAAATATAACAGCATATCCAATATCCGTCACTGGTGTACTGTAATAACTGTTGACAAAAATATATTACCAATGCAATTATGTCAAATGGAAAAGGGGGTCACTAAATTAACTGCATTAAATTAATTCCTGTGGCACTGTCCACAGAGAAGAGCTGCAAATGCGTTTGAATATGGAAAGATGCACCCTACCTCAGTGTCGTTCCAGTACATATGCAGCATGTAGTTGCGAAGTACCGATGGGTTCTCGTTGATGTGGTCCACTGCAAGCATCACGGAAGGCATTACCCCTCGCCCTACTCTGGATTCGGGAATATGACGACCGTACGGGAAGAAACCAGCGATGTAAACGTCCCGACGTTTGTTGCCGGACAAGTTCGGCTTCTGGCACAGTCCTTTCCACATCATGAGGCACAGCAGCGCCAACACACAAAAGCTACATCTCGAGATGGCCATGTTGGTGCCAAGTTCTTAACTCACTTATCTTAGGAATCTGGTGAATTACTTCACGTTTCTTGTGTGTAGATGTTTAAATTAGTATTATCTTGATCCATTCATTCTACATTTATTTTGGCGGCTCCATTCACTGTTGTATTGTGTGTTTCCTTATAAGCGCGAAATAACCTCGGTGAATCTCATTTACTACGCAAAGAAAACAAACTTTTTTTTAACTTACATGTTACGTAAATTAATACTTCAAAATGTGCATGAATGTTTTTGGGGGGGGGGAACACTTAATAAAACTCTGAAATTTGGAATCCTAATAAAATGCAATTAATACTGCGAAAATTCCTTCATTTGCATTCTGTTACTGTGTAGTTAACGCTTCAAAATTATTTGTTATTCCACATAACAGACTGTTGTGTTCATCTGCAGCTTCCGTGCAACTTCGAGCCTTGTATAACTCTATTTTAAAACGGATTTATTTGAGATTTAGCAAACATTCACACGCGCATCCATAGGTATTTTGAATTTCTTTTACCTTAAAACACACTAGGATATCCACTTGTCTTACGATAGAAATATTCACAACGGGACACAGTAACAGTAGAAATGTTATTCATTAAAAATCACTGGCACCACAGCTCATAATCACTTGTTTCTATTGCTTGGTGATGACTTGGAAAGATTTGTGCGTATTGTTGCCAATGCCAGGTAATGAAAAGTACTTTAATATGGCACTATCCACCCTCAATTTTATTTCTACGAATCAAAGTCTTATTATTGAGCCAATGTAATGCTTCAAGATTAAACTACGAGAAACAACTTGGAAAACAACGATTCAGTACACCAGTCTCAGTGGTGGGTAGGGGATAAAACAAATATCAAGTTGCCTAGAGCTCTTATATTACTAACTTTTTAGTTCGTAATAGTACCACCAGGGCGTATTAGTCCTACTTGTAACAATACATGTCCAATGGCTGCGCATCGTGGCCATGTTCTTTTACTAGTTCCTTTCTCAAGCGCACATATTTCAGATGTTAATGTCACTTAGCAACAAGAACTGAACATAAATGCCCCTTGTAACACAGCTCGCCATTATAGACATAGTTTCTATTTCTCATGGCTTCAAACATTTCGCTCACAACGTCACCCACTCGTAAATTCGGAGACAATAATCCCTTCCGCATTTCCAGATACACTGAAACAAATTCACTTCTTCGCTCACTGTGATGTCGGAAAATTAGGAGTATACCAATTTATCGGATATCTTCATTCTATTAGCATCATGTCTTAGATAATAAAGGGATGGTTATGTGAACCCACTAGCAGAAAATTATTAACTGTTTATTTTAACGATACTGAATTTATTAAAATTTCCAGTTGCCCAGCGGCAGTTATCGGTCTCGCCGCAATATTTTCTCAGTTCATCGCATTACACAATTAACTTAAAAGCCGCCATACAAAGGGAACCACGCGCGTGAGGAAAATGTATTTTTATCATCTCTGTTTTGTGCTTCTTCCTTCCTTCTCTTGCTTCTTCTGTAAACGTGCAGAGCCATCTCTTGGTCGCTCACTGCAACAAGAGCAACAAGATAAAAATACTACTTATTCTAAAAGCAAGAAAATTACAGACACTAAAGACAGAATCGGAGAAGTTCATCGAGGTAGGCCTAGGCCCACTGGGGCTGTAGTGCCAAGGGGAAAAAGTATAGAATACAAATCATAACATCATAACATCAATTTTAATGTTTTATTATAGCCTTTACATTAACATAAATATTTTTATATCCTAAGGCCAGCTTTAAACAAGTTACAGTTAATAATACGTAGGCCAGTTTAATATATTCTACTGAATATTTCTTAAGTTCATTAAACGGTTGTATCCTAATTATTTTATATATTTGGTAAGCACTAAAATTAAAATTAAGTTCTTCACTTCAGTTTCTTAATTGAGTTTCTGTTATAATGATCTTTCAGTGAATGTTATACAGTGATATCAGTTTCATTCAACGCAAAGCACTAATGCCATCGGCCATTTCAGACTTATTAAGAATTTCAACGTAAGAAAAATGCTTCTACCTCTTACTAAAATAATGTAGCTTGCACATATTCAAAAAGACATGCAATAGCTCAACTGTTTGAAGATCTTATCATAAGTCATTAAAAAGAGCTAGCGATTACAAAACACTGATTCAGCTTGATGAAAATAAAGTTATGCATTCAGTTTTGATGAAGGTATGTGTATTTACTTGTACAATTAAAATCAACGTAATAAATGGACACTCGTATAAGGAAGGCAGAGTTCCATTTCTCCAAGAAAGTGTCCACGGGAATGACTTACTGCGAAAACTTGAAAGCAGAACCCTTTGCATATGGTACAGGACACAGAAACACGTTCGATACTGAAGCTTTGTTATTATTATTTGCTTAATTTCAAGTTATAATACAGAATGGGGCGCAGAAACTTCCTTTTTTTGAAGGCGAATAAAAGAAAAATTATTGCTGATAGACAAAATTTATGTTTAGCTAATGAAAGAACATACTTTAAAGTTTTAAATCATGTAGTTTTAAACAAAATATCTTGAAGGTGGTGGCCACCGTTCTCTATGCACTGATGCAACCGTTTTCTGAAGTTTCACTCTGTACGTTCCAACATGTGCACCGGAATTTGGGCTACTTCCTACCGAATAACATTCTTCAGCTGAAGCAGGTTTGTGGGGCGATGTTTAAAAACCTCTGCCTTGAGGTATCCCCATAAAAGAAATTCACAGGGCGTTAGATCAGGTGAGTGCGCTGCCCACGGGATTTCACCTCCAAGCGAGATGAGCCGTCCGGGGAACTTTGCCATCGAAGCACGGGCTGTGTGGGCCGTGGCACCATCCTGTTGGAACCAGACATTTCCTAGATGCATTTCTTCAAGAGCTGGTTCGAAAAAGTTTTTAATCATGTCCACATACCGCTGTGAATTGACAGTAACTGCATGATTGTCTTCTTCAAAAAAAATAAGGCCCAATAACTCCAGCACTCGACAACGCACACCATACTGTCACCTTATCACTGTGAAGTGGCCTCTCTTGGAGCTCTTTGGGATTGTTACCACTCCAATAGCGCATATGCTGATTGTTGACATATCCGGATAGGTGAAAATGTGCCTCATCACTAAACAAAACAAGTGCGTCAGGGGGCAAAGTTTCCAATAACGTTTCGCACGCCGTTATTCGGTTCTTGAAATCACGTGGTGACAATTCTTGCACAACAACCATCTTATATGGATGGAAATGAGGATGTTCGTGAAGAATTCGGCGCATTGAACAATTGGATATGTCTAGGGCGACTGCAGGTTTGCGAGCGGAGCGTCTTGGAGATCTCAAAATCGACTGTCGAACTGCCTCCACATTTTCTGGAGTCGTAACGGTCCGTTGTCGTCCTGATGATTTTTTCACCACACTCCCGATTGTCCTAAAGTTCTCTATCCACAAAATAATCGATTTCCGGTCGGGAACCGGGCCTCTGGGCTTAATTCCGGAGTGAGTACGGAACGCACGCTGCACCGCCACGTAGGAATGGTTGTTCGAAAAATAGGCTTCGACAGCAAACGCACGCTGCTCACTCGTCCACCTCATATGTTTCCTACTGAGGGGTATTAGACAGAAACTTCCGCGACTGTTGCGTTCGCCGAGCCTATCCCCACTTTTCTGCGACCGCCCCCTCCTTCACAATGCGTCTTCACAAAAAGGAAGTTTCTGCGCCCCACCCTGTAGTTAATACGAAAATATGAAATGTTATTCTATTGGCACAGATCACACTTACAACTTCGCGCAATTAAGCTCGCTAATAAAATAGTCAAATGGAAGTGAAATGTAAACTTCGAAGCAGAATTGAAACAGACAAGACCATTCGAGTGCAAAATTAAACGGGACTGCGATTAAAAGCTTATTATAAATATACATATTCCTACTGATTAAAAACAAACTCCGTGGCCTGCAGTCCGCAAGCGAACTATACCGACCGAGCGACCGCCGCTTATCTTCGAAGTTAGTGCCGACTTCTGCGGATAGAAGGTGTCACATTATCACGGATCCCCACGGCCGGTAATCTCGGTTTTCTAGACCGGAGCCGCTATTTCCTTGAAAAAGCTCCTCAGTTATCCTCACGAGGCTGAGTGGACCCCATTCCAGACCCACTATTTCTCAGAAAATCCGGTAGAACCGGGAACAGAACCCGGGACCTCTGGATCTATAGCCAGGAACTGTGGCCACTAGACAACACAGGCGGTCTTTTACTGATTAAAGCAAAAGTAATTCATTTAAACTCATTCATTACAGAGCTTTACAACAGCTGAAACCTATAATAAGTGTTCACTTAAATTACGTAATAAATTTAAGATTTATATTTCCTATACAACAGTAATTGCATTATTTGTTTTTTACTTCGTAACAAAGATCCAAGTTCTTCATTACAGATACAGTACAAATATCTGAAACAAGCACATGATAAAACATAAAGAAAAATAAGTAATAAATAAAATACAGGCGACACAAAACAAAGTGGGCAACAAGAAAAGAATTAAACGAGTATATATTTCGAATTAAATCCTGATAATATTGTTACATGTACAACCATTGCTAGGCAAGGAGTGGTAAAATAGGTTGCTAAGTTACTCAACAATAGAGGATGTAGTGGTTTCTGTGTTGGCCGTTCCGCCCAGCAGTGGAAACAGTGGGGTTATGCAACCCGTTACCTAGCAACATTCTGACCATCCACGTTACAATATATTTTAATAAATAAACCAATACGGCAGCTAATACTGAAAAAACGTAATGAGTAAAATTACAGATTAGTTAGTTATTGGAGAGGGTGGATTTCCCCATGCACCGCGACCAGTTTGATCTATTGTGCTTCCCTCTATGATATTCTATCAGTCTCTATACCCTACCGATACTGGTGCTTACCATCAGTCCCGACCAAGCCAGCGAATTCGGCCTCTACTGGCTTGGCGGTATCTGTAATGCTTCCCCCATCTATCAGAGGCGTTAAGAGACTACTGTTGGGCGAGAAATGTCCTTGAATTTGGCTCAGTGATCTCCTTAGGAGATGTGAGGTTCTTTTACGTGGCGTAAAGCTACGACACGGGACCCACGGCTTAAACTCCCTCCCGGAGGACTTCTTCCCTGAATTTTTCCGCCCTTAAAAATTCCACGACCTCCGCCGGGTTTGAACCCGCGTACTACGAGTCATGAGGTGGGAACGTTACCTCTAGACTATGGAGGCCGCTTAAAATTACTGATACTAACTGAATTATCAATCCAAGTGCAAAGTAACTGGTGTAGGTGTATGGCTTCTGGCTTAAATTTCGAGTAATAATGGCAGCTGGGTAAAGAGAAACCACGTTCCATTCAAAATAATGAAAGTTAAAAACATGTATAAAAATATCGAAACAATATTTCACCTAAAATTTGTTTTCCAGAAACTAAGATTATTTGCAATATCAGGTTTAGCTTCAGGTACAAAATAGCGATTTCTAACACGCAATCTGAGACGACCTATTTAACAACACACATTCATCATAAAATTCTGTGCACACCAACGTTTAAAATTTCTAACACTTTCAGAAAGGTAAATTAATAAGCTACCACCATGTTTTTCTTTTATACGCTGCCCTCACAATGAAAGATGGTGTACCAGTCAGGAGGTCAATGGTTGTAAGGCACGAAATCGTATCTCTTTTAAACATAACATTTTAAAGTTGGTGGAGCAAACATTTTCCTCTACCTCTCTTTGTTCCTGAGACCTCTAACATGTTGACGAAAAAGTCTAAAAGATTTACAGAGTATCATTAAACACGAACAAATTACCCATGTATATATAAAGACATCGTCAGCCATTATCTAATGGAATCTGCGTCACGTTCCTAAGATCCATCAGGGAACAGCATTATGGATCAGAGCTGTATCAGCATCATTTGATAAATGATTTTATATATGTGTGTATGACATATAATAACACCCTCCGTGATCTAACCTGTATTTACTACTACACAGCGTTATATCCAAAAAGATAGTATTCTTCAAGTCGATGTAAATTTGAGCAAGACAGTTTTTAACTCCTAAATCTGCAAAAACGAAAAATAGGTCTAAGCCCCAGAAGTACACAAGTAGGCCTATGTATTGTGAATCTGACATAAATATCAGGCGGCATGGGTCTGCACAGTGCCAATAATAGTATCGACAACAGCTCTCATGCTCCTACGCTTAAGAAAAAGTCTCAAAAACACTAATCTTGACAAAATCTACAGACCGTTAAAAATTACTACGAACGCGTGTTGTACGAAATTTATCTGTGGTTAAATATTAAAGTAAGTACATCTGTAATTAGTGCAGAAGTGAACGGGCCTAAATCGGACTTCCAAGCCTTCGAAAATATGGAAAATTCGATCATTCAAACAGCGAAAGTCTCCCCTCTTTATTTCACTTACTGTTGCGTAGAAATTTAAGTTATTGTAAGTTATGAATAAATGAGTTAGAGCATACGAGAGTTTAAGGAATGTTGATTTAAAACTAGATCAACATCATA